TTTTGGGCATTTTGCAGAGAGATGCAAATTCCACTTCAACAATTACCAGCCTAATCCGAGCACTTGGGCCGGCCGATAAGACGTGAGGCAAAATACGCGTCAAGCCCAAAGCTTTCAGCCCGCACCACGCGCTGCAAACTCCTCAGTTCAGCACCAGCAGCAGTAGAACCTAGAGGCTCCTGCAACGCCATCAGCAACATGGCGATGCGTCACACACGAGGAACCCGTCGTCGCCGCATGCGCACTCCGTCACTCGAGCACACGCAGAATCCGATCTTTGCGTCCAACAGCAAAAACCCTTTTACTTCGGTCCATAATTACAACGAGGCAATGACCAAGATTGGAACTTACCAATCCCTCTGCTTGAAAGCCCCCCCCACATGCATGACCCCAGGCCGGCGCCCATCAACTGGATCGCGCGTGAACGTCTCTTAAAGTTTGACACGCCACACATAGTCACGCCGCGGCTCGCGCTCCTCGCACGCGATGCCGACAAACAACATAACACTTGGTATCTCGCCAACTGTTGTGGGCAGCACATGATTGGCTCCAGGTGCTATATCTCTAACACCGTTGCCACCCCCACGGTCACCTATATCACCGTGGCGAACAACGAGCGCCTGCACGCAAACGCGCAAGGGATTGTCATCCTCAAAGCGCGCAGAAGCAACACACACATCACGCTGAATGATGTGCTCATCGTGCTGAACCTACAATTCAACCTTCTCTCGGCGTCGCACCTGACAGATTGCGGCGTGCAACTCAGCACTGACCCGGAAACGCGCCACCTGACAAACCGCGCAAGTTACTCGGATGAGCACGCGTCGAGAACGGCATGTATGTCCTGGATTTCGACATCCTAGACTGCATCGGCGACATGGATAAGTCAATCGACCTCATCCCGCTTCGCTTCGAGCACATCCACCGCTCCGAGTGGAAGCATCCTGACAGCAGGCCCTAGGTGCCGCATCACCCGCATGCGCGTGAGACGGCACTACACGACCCCGACCCTAACGCCATCTGCAGGGACTGCCGCACACCGACCGCTTCGACCAATGCCAACGTCGCCGTCAGAGGTCTCGCCGCGATCGCCGAACCTAAGCAATACATGCCGCCGGACTAAGGTATGTCAACGCTGGAGCTTGAAGTCACAACGCGCCACGTTTTTTTTCACACCAAACGATGTCAGAATGTTATTGTTCTCTAGCCTGTAGTGGGGTGCTCTATAGCGAGTACAACCCTTCTAGGGTTTGCTATTTGTATCCTCATTGCTGCTAGTGATCCCCCTCTTTTGCCTAATTCTCTCTTGTCTAGCTAGGTAAACCCTAGCTATGGCTCCTCACTATACCTACTACTTTCACAAACGAGCCCCGCCCAGGAACCGCAACAGGCCGACTTCAAGGGATCTTACGAGGATGAAGGCGCGGAACCTTTGACGCGCGTCACCAAGGAAGCATTTCTGGAACTATACCCCCACTGGCGGGATCTAACGAAGACGCTCACCGTCGAAGAAGAAGACGAGCTGGCGCGCCGCGAAGCTAAGGAGCTATATCACAAAAGCATCGCCGAAGCGCACGGAACATTCGCCTACAGCGCATGGGGCTAAGCGAGCGAAGAAGGCGCCTCCAATGAAGGGGGGTGGGGAGGCAACGACGGCTGGGGAACCAGCATCGGCGGTACCTGGGCAACATCGAAGGCACCTGGGCAACCGCATACGAGAATTGGGGCACCGTATCTGGCGGCATTGGCGGCGGATGGGGAGGCTCAGGTGGAGGCTGGGGTGCGTCCCAAGAAGAAGGGGGGAAACTGATGAAAAAAATCGAACTGCCAATTGTTTCTCTCGGCCGCCCCCCGCGTATTCCCGCACCACCGCCACTTCCCGCGGACATCCCGCTGTCAAGCGATCCTTGGTCAACGAACCATCGACCCCGCACCGCACCGTCTACGGGCCCGATCTCGAGCCGCGCGAACCTACGCTCGTCCCCGGCACAATTCCCGGAACCAACATCCCACTCTCTATCATTCCCGACAGATAATTTCTTGCGTTGATGCCAACGATGGCGAACGACGAAGCAGTAGAAGAAGAAGCGCCAGAAGCGCCTACCCCCGTACCTGAAGAAGACCTTGACGAGGTGCAGCGCGCTATATCAGCGCACCTCCGAACTCCGCGCACCTGATGACCTATGATGGCGCTAGCGCCTAGGTAACCCCTCGCGCCAATCACTTAACAACTGTCTCACTGCTGAAGTCTTCACGCCTGGCGCGATCTTACACCCTGATGGCTCCCAGATAAAAGGTTGCTTCGCAACCCCCCAAAAAAACCTCTGCTTAGAATTCCTGCACTTGTACCACATATTAACTAGAATTGAATACCGGTAATAAGGAGAAATACAAGCATTTTATGGTTCTATGAAAGTACCTAATCAGTGATGTTTACGAAGGCGTTGTTTGCCTTATCGAATCGTACGATTTTTCAGTCTGGTTATGGAACTTTAAAGTGACAGGATACGCGGCAGAAGTGGTGGTACTGATGCTGTTCCGAATCAGCCTTTCATGTGTGACTGTCAAATGCCCAAAGACCATGCTGTGAAGGACTCACTCACTCCGAGGGGGGCAGTGGCTGTGACTCATCCCCACTCGTCCCAGAGGCGCCGCCCAGGTGCCGAAGCGTTGAGACGTCTCAAAACAAGGCCCCACCCACCCTGCTGCCACCTATGAGTGCATCACTCCATCCCGGGAGGGCGTGGCTGCGACTCATTCCCGTTCGTTCCGAGTGGACCAACAACACCTGGTTGAGGCATCATAGGCTGCATGGGTTGCATGGGTTGCATGGGTTGCGTGGGCCAGTGCTGCTGCTGGCTGGTTTGCGCATGGAAGGCTGCTGGGCCATTGTTGCCTGTCCATGCTGCTTGCTGCTGCTGTGGTTGTTGCTGTTGCTGCTGCCACTGCTGTTGCTGCTGCTGCTGGTGGTGGTACTGCACTGGGTGTGGTTGTTGTTGCTGGTATGAATGCTGCTGCTGTTGCTGGTATTGCACCGGTTGTGTTTGTTGCTGCTGATACGGCTGCTGCCACTGCTGCTGCTGGTGAACGGCTGGTGGTTGCTGAAAGCCCTGCTGGTACTGCCCTTGGGGTTGCTGAAACGGGGGCTGCTGCTGTAGCTGCTGCTGTTGTTGATGCTGAAACAGAGGGGTGTGTGAACCGTGTGAACCGGGACCCACTTGTAGGGGCTGCTGAAACGCAGGGGGCTGCTGTTGATACCCGACACCTGGCTGTTGCATCGGTTGCTGCATGGGTTGCTGCATGGGTTGCTGCATCTGCGGAGGCATCTGCTGCTGCATGGGCATTTGAGGGCGAGGCATGAAAGGAGGCGGGGGACCAGCCATGAACGGCGGAGGGGCCACACCCATGGGGGAAGATGCGGGCGGTTGATGCGGGGAATACGAGGGCATGGGGGAAGGCTGGTTTATCATCATTGGAGAAGCCCCTCTGCCAGCCTGCTGGGGGAAGGCCCCACTGCCCTGCTGCCACTGCTGGTTGCTGCCCTCCCACCCTCTGCCTTGCCCACTTCCTTGCCCCTGCCATCCGCTCCCTCCTCTCCCTCCTTCACCTTTCCCCCTCTCCCCTCTCCCTCTGTCGCCCCTCCCTCTCCCTCCTCTCCCTTTTCCTCCTCTTCCCCCCTCGAACCCACCTGGTCCATCCCACCCGCCTCCCCTTCCCCCTCCCCATCCTTCTCCCCTCCCTCTTCCCCTCCCGCCATCTCCATCCCAACCCCCCCTTCCCCTCCCCCTCCCTCGCCCTCGCTCTCCCCTTCCTCGTCTCCCTCGCCCTCCCTCCTCCTCCCCGCCCTTCCTCTTGCTCCTCCGCTGCTCCCTCCTCCACTCCTCCTCCTTCTCATCATCGCTAAACATCGCTTCTGCATCCCCTCCTTCCCATCCCACACCTCCTTCTCCTCCTCTCCCTCCTCCCCTCCCTACTCCCTTCCCTCTCCCTCCCTTCTCCACCCCACCCTCCCCCTCTTCCTCCTCACTCCCCTCCTCCTCCTCATCCTCCCCCACATCATACCCCTTAGCCCTCAATGCAGCATCATCCAACACGTACCCTGCCATCCTCTCTATAAAGCTCACCGCTACACCCACAGTCGCCAGCGCAGGCACCTCTTCTCTCGTGTTAAACCGCACGCGATACAGCGGCGCTTTAACCGGCCCGAAGATCTCATCCACAACACCCAGCAGGCACCGGTGCTCAGATAGGAAAAGTATGGATCCCTCCTCTAGAGCGCGGGCAGAGGGGTCGGCTTGAACCACCACTGATGTCTCAACGATCTGTGCGGCACAAAACAGGGGTCACATGTGGGAAGAGTAAGGAGCTGAATGAATCGATACAGGAACAGAAGATCTCATCCACAACACCCAACAGTTAGCAGTGATCTGACAGGAAGAGCAGAGATCCCTCCTGTAGCGCGCGGGCAGATGGGTGGGCTTGAAGCACCACTGACGTTTCAATAATATGTGGAACAAACAGGGGCCATGTGAAGTAAAAGAAAGGACTGGATGAAATCACGAAGTGGAAGAAAATGGGGGTTACATGTCACGTGGGAGAAGGGGAGGGAAGTGGGAAGAAAGGGGGCCAGATCAGATTACACTTGGAAAAGGTGGGGGTTGAATCACACATCCCCCCCCTACTGTTTTCACGAGGTTGATGTAAAAGAGAAGGTATTGCTAGAGGAGATTAATAGATTGATAAGCTGGATAAATACTGCCACTCCATGTGAGCTGTCAATCCACGTGTGCTTCTGCTACCTCTCGTACCCTGCCTGAGCTGCACCTTGGTAGTGAATTTGCTTTGACGAGTTTGTTAGGTGCACCGACACAGTCGTGTGGGTGTGGTTATACGCCACCACCTGTACTGCTAGCTGCTTGTGGTACCCTAAGCTGCACCATGGATGTTGAACTGCAAAGTGAAAACAAATTACAGCTGACACGTCGCATGTGGCAGCAGACTTACAGCTGACTTACACCGGTGACATGTGGCACAAACTTACAGCTGACACGTGGCCCAGTGGCAGCAGCTCGTCCGAGTCTTCCACCTTGACGTCCGGAATCGTGACAGGTGGCAGGCCCTGATATGGAGAGTGGGGCAGAGGAGCAAGAGGGTGGTGAGGGAGAGGTGGGAGGGGGAGGTGGGAAGAAGAGGTGGAAGTGGGAGGTCGGAGGCATGGTGGGGAACGGCGCAGAGGCAGGGAGGCATGCCCAGTGGGGAATGGGGCAAAGGGGCGGGAGAGGTGGGATGGAGGGAGCCAACAGAGAAGAAGGAAAGGAAAGTGTTGAGTCTACTGGGAATCTATCTTGGAAGTGCGTTGGGTGGAGACAGGCGAGCCTCCCACCTTGCCGCTGGGAATCATAACAGGTGGGAGACCCTGTTATGGGAGCCATGGTGAAAAACGGGGCAGAGGAGCAGGAGAGTGGCGATGGGGAGGTGGTAGAAAGAGGTGGGATGCATGGTGGGTAATGGGGCAAATGAGCAGGAGAGGTGGGACGGAGGGAGGGAGCCAAGAGAAGAAGGAAAGAGTCTACTGGGGATTTATCTCGGAAGAATATTGGGTCGAGAGAGGCGAGCTTTCCACGTTGCCGCTGGGAATAGCAGCAGGTGGGAGGCAGGCGCGGTGGGGAATGGGGCAGAGGAGTGGAGCGGAAAGGTGGCGATGGGAAGAGGTGGAAGGGAGAGAAAGGGAGGGAGAAAGAAGGTAGGGAGGGAGGTGGGTGGGAGAGATGTGGAAGGGTGAGGGGAGAGAGGAAGACGGTCGGGAGAGGGTGGAGGGAGAGAGGTGGGAGGGAGAGAGGCGGGAGAGAAATAGAGGTGGGGGGGTAAGAGAGGTGCGAGGGAGAGAGGGAGAGTGGAGAAATAGAGATTGTATGGAGGGAGAGAGAGGTGGGAGGGAGAGAGGAGGGAGCTAGAGTGGTGGGAGGGAGAGAGGAGGGAGCTAGAGTGGTGGGAGGGAGAGAGGAGGGAGCTAGAGTGGTGGGAGGGAGAGAGGAGGAGGACAGAGATGAGACAGGGAGCGAGGAAGGAGGGCGGGAGGGGGGGGAGAGAGACGTGGGAGGGAGGGAGGAGGGGGACAGAGATGAGACAGGGAGCGAGAAAGGAGGGAGGGAGGTGTGGGAGAGAGTGGTGGGATGGAGAGAGGAGAGAGCGAGAAGGGTGATGGGCCAAAAACCCTGATCCCTTGAACCAGTCATTCACCGGCTACCCCCTGTCCCCCCCACGTGCAGTCAAGCCCACCCAAGTAAAACCCTGTGGCCTTAAACCCTGTACCCTGTCGCACAAGTAGCTCACCAGGTCCCCCAAATCCCCCACGGGTCCTTCAAACCTTTCTGTCGAAAACGTCCCAACTCCTAACGCCTTAGGACCTATGCAGGAGAGGAAAACCCTGGCGCCTTAGACCCCATAGTGCACCGCTGAGGCCAACCTCTACTGCCTTAAAGCCCTGCCAGTCACACTCAACGCACTCACCGGCTCCCCCATGTCTCCGACGTGCCCCTCAAGTGCTGTTACGCCCCACCCAGGTCAAAACTCTAACTCCTGCCACCCACCCGCGCCACTCACCGACTCCCCCCATGTCCCCCATGTGCCCCATGTGCCCCATGTGCCCCATGTGCCCCATGTGCCCCATGTCCCCCATGTGCCCCACGTCCCCCATGTGCCCCACGTCCCCCATGTGCCCCATGTCCCCCATGTGCCCCATGTGCCCCTCAAGTGCCGTCAAGCCACACCCAGGTCAAAACCCTACTGCCTGCGAGTCACCCAAGCCACTCACCGGCTCCCCCATGTCTCCCACATTCCCCTCAAGCCTCTCCAACTCCTCCTCTTCCTCTATCAACATGTCATTGCGTAATTCTTCCTCTTCCTCCTCCCCCTCCTTTTCCTCCTCTGCTGTTTCTTCCTCTTCCTCCTCACTCTCCTCCTCCTCCTCCTCCTCCTCCTCCTCCTCCTCCTCCTCCTCCTCCTCCTCCTCCTCCTCCTCCTCCTCCTCCTCCTCCTCCTCCTCCTCCTCCTCCTCCTCACTCTCCTCCTCTTCTCCACTCTCCTCTTCCTCACTCTCCTCCTTCTCCTCGTTTGTCTCCTGCATCACCACCCCACCCTCGTCCACTTCTTTTCCCTTCACCTCCTCCTTTTCTTCTTTTCCGCCCATCATCTCCTCCTCCTTCCCGTTAACCCCTTCATGATCCATGTCCCTAGCCTCCTCCATCCCATCTTCCTTAAATCCCGCCTCCCCTGGCGCCTCTCCTGCCCTAAAATCTAGCCCTTCTGCCTTCACCCTACCCTCCTCGTCCTCCAACACCCCCAACTTCCGCTCCTCCCCAGTCTCTTTCACCTTCGCCTCGCCATCCGTTCCCCTTACCCCATCTTCCTCCTCCTGAATCATTCCCTCCCTTCCCTTTTCCTCCGCACGGCTCACTCCTTTCGCGTCGCTACCCTCTATCTTTCCTTTAACCTCCGCGCTCTCCTTACACGCACTCATTTCCCTCACTTCGATACTGTCACGCGCTCCGTTCCCTTCGCTACAATCGCCTGCTTCCTTTTTCTGCGCCGATCCGGAACCGCCCTCAACCGCTTCGCCTACAGTCACATCGCACATTGTTAACTCGGCGGGAGAATCTTGTGTCACAGTAGTTGCGATTTCACTCGGAGAACCGTTTCGAGAAGCACCTACCCCAGTCGCACCTTCTCCCGTCGCATCTCCCACAGTCGCTCCCCCCGTCGCATCTCCCACAGTCGCAACCCCCCCCGTCGCATCTCCCACAGTCGCACCTTTCCCAGGCACACCTCCATATCTTACCACATCCATGCTCGTAGTCGCACTACGATCTGTCGCTAAAGACACCGTATTTTCAAGTCTATCACAGTTAACGTTAATGAAAAACGCGAATTTCAGTCACAACCGCGGGGAGATTCGTGTACGAATAGATGGGGATTATCGCGGAAGGAGTGAGAGGTGGGGGACAAGGTTGACAAGGTTGAGGGTTTAAACCTATGACATCTTGTGCGCGATCACTTTAGAGCTCACCTCGCAACTGTTTATTGCAGTTCCTCTTTTTGACATTAATTGTGACATCTACTTGGAGAGTTCTCTTATAATACATTGGCTTATGTATGTTTCTGTTACGAGTGCATTTGAGTGAACGAACGAGAGTTGCACTATCGAAGCAAGAGTACAATGAGCAAAGGCATGAACGAAGAATATATAGCGAAACTACAGTGGTAACGGTAATGCACTCTGGTGTCAGAATGAGAACTACAGCGGAAAGAGTTGTGTTGACAGAATTGGGGTACATCACCTAACCCTAACTAGTTGTACCCCATATAGCCCAACCCACTACAGGCTATAATATTTGACACACCCCCATAGCCTAAGTGGGGAAGGCCAATCAACAACAAGCAACCTACGGTCACAAGACCAGTCAAAAATAAGGGAAAGAAAACAAAGCTCAGGGTGGATCACAACGTCACCACCTAATCTGAGCACAAGCAAAGGGCCACAAGGCCAGTCCAAAAGTGTGCAAACAAATATATATATAAGGTACAAGCAAGCAACAGACAAAGAGCACCCTACAGCAGTCAACTAGACCCAGTCTCAACGAGGCCTAACTGCAGACAAAACCGACGGTGGTCACAAGGCTAGAGGGCCTTGGTGAAGATGTCTGCAGTGTTGGCCTCGGAGGCCACAAAGTCCAGACGAGCCTGTCCGCGTCTCTGCAACTCTCGAAGGAGGAAGTACCTGACGTCGATGTGCTTCACTCGGCTCTCCAGTCGAGGCTCACGACACAGGAGAATCATCGCCCTGTTGTCAGCAAACAGGGTCGGTGCAGAGCTCGGCCGCTCACCAAGGTCAGTGAGCAAAAAGGTCAACCACCGTAGCTCCTGAGCAGCAAGGGCCGCAGCGTAGATCTCGACCTCTGCGGTAGAGGTCGCAACAGAGGAGGACCGAATAGACCTCCACGAAACAGCTCCAGAACCCAGGCTGAAACAGTAACCCTGCGTAGACCTCTGAGTCTCAACGTCGCCAGCGTAGGAAGAGTCACAGTGACCGGTGAGTACAACTGACTGTGTCCCTCCAAGTACAAGCCCCATGCCTGATGTCGCGCCAAGGTACTTCGCCACCCTCTTAACCGCCGCCCAGTGAACAGGACGGTGTCTCCCAGTCGCAACAAAGCGAGACAGGATGCTAAGGGGGAAGGCGAGGTCCGGGCGAGTGCACGTCATTAGGTACATGAGGCAGCCCACCAGCTCTACGTAGGGACCACTGGGCTCGAACGGCTCGTCAGGAAAAGGCCCAATGAGTCTGTGGTCTAGAGCAAGAGGAGTGGGGGCAGGAGAAGAGTCCTGAAGCCCGAACTGCTGAAGAACCTGCTGCACCATGTGTGACTGAGTGAGAGTGATGGTGCGAGCGGCTCTGTCCTTGGAGATCTGCAGGCCAAGGTAGCGGCGCAATTCCCCAAGGTCAGTGCAGGTGTGTCTCTTCTGCAGTTCGGACTTCACCTCCGCCAGTGCAGCTGTGTCGGCCGTGGCAAAAACCAAGTCGTCAACGTAGACTAGGACGAAGAAAGGTGTACGGCCACGACGAACAAATAGCGACGGGTCGGCGGAAGACAGCTCAAACCTGAGGTCGGAGAGAGTAGAGCGGAGAGTGTCGTGCCACTCACGGGGTGCCTGGCGGAGACCATAGATCGGTGGTCTGAGGCTCCACTGGGTCCCAGGCGGGAAAGTGCCAGTGAAGCCCGGAGGACGACGCAGCCAGATCTCCTCGTGTAAGCAGCCCTGGAGGAAGGCAGTGGAGAAGTCAAGAGAGTGTAGCTCGTAGTCTCTCTGCGCTGCTACGTGCAGTAACACCCGAAGAGTGGTCATCTTCGAGGTGGGAGCGAAGGTCTGAAAGAAGTCAACCCCCTCGCGGTGACTGAACCCTCTAGCCACGTAGCGTGCCTTGAAGACTGGGGGAGATCCCGGCGGCCGCTTCACCTTGAAGATCCACATGCCGTCAACAATGTTCGCCCCTGGGGGGGGGAACCTCGTCAACGTAAGTGCCTGTGGACCTGTAGGAGGCCATCTCTGCGTCCATGGCAGCTCTCGAGTGAGAGGCCCAAGGCCCTGACACTGCCTCAGCGTAAGTGCGAGGAGTAGGTATGTCAGGAGCGTCGGGGTCTCCCTCAGGAGTGAGCAGCATGGCACAGAGATGAGGCGAAGCAACTGCCAGGAACTCTAGCTCAAACTGTTTGTCCTCTAGGACGTCACAGCCAAAGGCATACACACCCCCGGCGGACAGAGGACGGACAGGAGGAGCTGCCACAACTCGAGTGGCGTAGTCAAGGCGACGCGTAGCAGTAAAGTCAGTGACAGCGGCAGTGAGGACCGCGACGGAGGAAGGAGAGGCACGAGGGTCTGTAACAAGAGAGGCGAGAACACGAGAGAGAGTGGGGCGGTACGTGCGGTAGTAGTCAGTGACCGGAGTGGACAGGGAGGCAGTGAGGGAAGACTCAGGAGGACGAGGAAGGACAGACGGAGGAGAACGAGGAGGACGAGGACGAAACAACACAGTACGGAGGTCAGTGACAGGGGACGAGGGACGAGCACGAGGAGGGCGAGAGGCCCAAGTGTGGGCGAGAGGAGGGGGGGACGGAGGAGACTGAGAACGAGGGAAGACAGCCGGAGTGGAGTCCGGAGGAGGAAACGTGGGACCGAACACAGGAGGAGAGGAGGGGAGACCAAGGGCCCGAAGGCCAGAGACAGGGGCCGGAGGCTGCTCCGGCAGCTGCGGCGGCTGCTGCTGCTGCTGCTGCTGTGGCTGTGGCTGCGGCTGCTGCTGCTGCTGCTGCTGAAACTCCAACCGCTCACGCTCCACCCGCTGCTGAACCTCCGACCTCTCACGCTCCAAACGCTGCTTCTCCTCACGCTCTAGACGACGAAGGGCCTGGTAACGAGTCGGGTAGGGGTGAGGAGGAGGAGTGGTGTCAGGAGACGACGAAGAAGAACCGGCTCCACCCTCGACAGGACCCGGCTGAGCACCCCCAGAGCGAGGACCCCCTGCGGCAGCACGACCAGTACCTGTAGGAGGTGTACCCGCACCCCCAGTCGTGGCGCCGCCAGTGGCACCAGCACCAGCCCCAGACTCTCCAGCTCCAGAAACACCACCAGCTCCAGCACCACCACCCACTCCAACACGCTCGGGACGTGCAGCTGCGGCAGGTGCATGCTCAGCTCCAACTCCAACACCCCCAGAACCAGCACCGCCAGAGCCCTCACCTCGAGCACCAACACCCTCAGAGTCCGCAGTGGCCGGGAGAGGAAGCGCCGACGGCTACTGCGGAGGCTGTGAGGACAACTGTGGGGAAGGAGGAGAGACCTTGGGGGGGACCAAGGGAGGGGGGGTAACCTGCGACACACCTGACGGAGCGGGAACCGGGGGGGTACCGGAGGAGAGGGAGCGGGAGGAGGAGGAGCTGGGGCGAGGAAGAGGGGAGGGGGGGGAACCGGGAGACCTCGACAGGGGTACCGGACGAAGTAGGGGACGGACTCATCGAAACTGACGTCACGAGAGTCAAAGAACCGGTGGGAGGGAGGGTGGTAAAAGGTGAAGTCAGAGGAGGCCTCAGGGAAACTAAGGAAGACACAGGGGACGCCGCGAGGTGAGAGCTTGTCCGCAGAGGTGTGGCGGACAAGCGCCAAGAAGCCCCAGACACTAAACCTCGACGCAACACCAGGGGACCCTGTCCAAAGACTGGTCGGTGAAGCCCCTGGCCGAGAGACGCGAGGCCAGAGGTTCAGTTGGTGAGCGGCGTACCGAGCCGCGTAGGGCCACAAAAAATGGGGCGCGCGGGCGTGGATCATGGAGGTGCGGGCAATCTCCATGACCAGGCCTAGCCGGCGCTCAGCAACCCCATTCTGCTGTGGAGAGTCTGGAAGAGTCCAGGACTGGGTGATGCCTTGCTCAGCACAGAATCTGGCGAGAATGCCGGAGCGAAACTCACCCCCACGGTCGGAGTGGAGACAACTGACACGACGACGACGAGTACTCTCGGTGGCGAGCAGCCACCGGGTCAGCGTAGAAGTCACGTCGGACTTCTTCGCCAAAGG